TCCTTGTTTTTCAGAATTTTTTTTTAATTTCTTTTATGCTGCTTTCCAGGTCTCAAAGCAAATTAAATAGAAATAAAAACAGATCAAAGCATGCGAACAATGCTTTGTTTCTTGCTTGCATTGCATGCAAGAATGCCGATATCATCAAAATTCCATTCCCAGTTCACGGGGCAACTATCCACGTTTTCCCATGGAAAGCTTCAGGATTACGAAATCTGTCAACTGAAATATACTATAACATGTTCCCAACTAAAACTAAGAGCTAATACTTCTTTTTGGTAAGGGCAACAAGATCAAATAGAAATGGAACCGAGATTGTTTGAAGCATCTCGTTCTGGGGATATATCTGCATTTCTCTTGTTACTCCGGGAAGATCCGTTTCTGCTTGATCGAGTTGGCTTAAACTCTGTCGACAACCCTCTACACATATCATCATTGGCAGGAAAAAACAGAAATCACGAAGGAAATTGTGAGCAGAAAGCCAGCATTCGCTAGGGAGCTAAATGAGAATGGTTTTAGCCCCATGCATGTTGCTTCAGCTAATGGGCACATTGAAATAATAAGAGAGCTCATGAGAGTTGGATATGATATATGTCTTTTGAAGGGAAAAGATGGTAAGGTTCCACTTCATTGCGCGGCTTTGAAAGGCAGAGTTAATGTTGTTAAGGAACTGGTCTGGGCTTGCCCCGAGTCTGTTAAAGAACTGATTACTCTCGGGGAAACTGCCCTTCATTTGGCAGTGAAGAGTAACCAGATTGAGGCTGCAAGGGTTTTGATGGAGGAGATGCGGAGGTTAGATATGATGGAAATTTTGAATTGGAAAGACAAGGATGGGAACACCATATTACATCAGGCAACCTTCAACAGACAACATGAGGCAAGTTTTGAAGCCCTTCCTGCTAGGTTTTTTTTTTTTTTTTGCTCAATTGCCTACTAGTTATTTACTTCATCTATTCTTATTTATTCGTTTCTCTTCTTTTTCGATTTATTATGTTCGTTCATTTGTTCTTGGTGTCTCCTATCTGTTCAAAAACCAAGTGTGCAGCATGTGAAATCAGACTGTTAATGAATCCTGAATGCCTTTAATAAAGATGGCATTGTTCTGTCAGATAATGTAACAAGCTGCATAGTTAAGCAAAGATGAGAGCACATAGATGCTGGCTGAGTGTCTTGAGCACTTTCCCAAGGAAAACCATTTGTTTGAAGCTGAAGAAAAGGACAAACTAGGTGTTGATGAACAATATGCAGATCATTATTTAATTGGGAATCTAATAAATACCAACATTTCTTCCTCCGCATTTCTATTTTGGAAAGATGTCAAATATAAGTTGAAGCAGAGGTGCTACTGAATCATGGTTTTGATCATGGTGGAGTCCAACACACGTTATTCTGATTACATTCTGTTTATTCTTTGGCTACTGTAAAATTCTAATAATGAATAGATTTTACTGATTGTGCTATTGGTATTCTCTCCAGAAGTTGTAAATTATGAATATACATACTTGTTTGCAGATTATAGGTCTGTTAATTGGTCAAGAAGCAGTTGTTTCTGGGATTAACGTAAACGCCATTAACTCAAGCGGAATTACACCAAAGGATGTCCTAGATGTTTTGCTCCAAAGTGGAGGTGATTGTTATGATATTCAGATTTATCAGATGTTTCAGCAAGCTGGAGCTGTGAAAGCCCGAGAACTCACAACAGAACGGGCTAATGTCCAAACCGGAGCAGAAAGCTTTATCAACACGCAAACATCGCAATCTTCTTGTTCATGGAACCTATGGAAGGAACTGATGAAAGAGGTTACGGAATCATCAACTGAAACTCAAAATGCACTAATGGTTGTGGCAGTCCTGATAGCAACCGTCACATACCAAGCGATTCTGAGCCCTCCAAGTGGTTTTTGGTCAGCAGAGAAAGGAAAATCTCAGACCATCACCGTTCAAAAGAGAGCCACGATGCCTGGAGAGGCTGTCATGGCTAGCGACCCTGAAATCTTTGCTGTGTTCACTGTTTTCAATGCAGTTGGTTTCTTCGCATCACTCGGCATGATCTCTCTCCTTACCAGTGGATTCCCTCTGAAGGCAGGCTTGCGGCTGGCCATACTTTCAATGACTGGTACTTACGTGATAGCTGTAATCTATATGGGTCCAACCAAAATGAGAGAAATATACATAGTGGTCATTTTGATGGGAATTCTATTTCTTGCGGAGTTGGCAAGGTTTACCACGTGGTTGCTGAAGAAATGGGGAGTTGTTCCAGATACAAGGAGAAGGTAAAAGAGTTAGAATGTGCTTCTCTTGTATCATGAATCAATTGAGTAGTTTAGAATTTCATTCCTCTGGTTATTTTATCTTGGCAACATGATAACTTGTTCTTCATTTGTAAAAACTTACAAGCTTATTTGGTTCATTTATCAAAAAAGTGCATATCCATTCATTTAATTGTTTCTCTTGTTCTTCCCGACATGAGTTTTCTGTATCCTGTTAATTTAAAAAGAAACAAAGAAAGAAGGCAGATCTTGAGAAATCTGAGAAATCAGTGTATTTTGACTGGTCATGCGTTGGACTTGTTGGTGAGTATGGCCAATGCTGGCAATCAATAGCTGCTGCAAGCAGTTAATTTCTGTAGAACAATGTAGACAATTTAGCAGAAGGGATCAAGTCAGTGGGGCTAAATATTTCCAGATCAGGTAGAAATTCACCACCTGGTAACAGAAGGCTTGAATTCCCAATAGTCTATTGAGTTTCTTGCCTTATCTGCAGGTTTCAGTATTACACGAGAAAAAATTGTAGAGGACAAAGAATGGTTATTTCGTGAAGCAAAACGAAGGAATCATCATATTAATCAAGTCATCAACTAATTTATTCATAATTCCTAACCAGTGCATCCCTTGAATAATAAAACTGTGACATTTGGTAAGAAATCCAAAAAAAAAAAAATTCAACGCTTGATTCTGTAGTCAGAAAACTTGCAATAAATTAAGTAGAAGAAGAAGACGGTTGTAACAAAAAATTTGTATAATATTTGTAGACAGTAGACCAACTCCTCTCCTTTCGTGGTCTCTAAGAAACAGGTTGGAGTTTTCCTATAAAGCAGCTTCAGATTTCCTGGCAAATACTTTGAATAATTTCTAACGCCACAAGATAAGGTTCTACAATTTTTTTCACAAATTCTCAAATGGATAACGAGAGATTGTTTGAAGCTGCTCGGACAGGAAATATTGAGGTGCTATACGATTTGCTTGAGAAAAATCCATTGATTCTAACTGATGTTGCCCTGTTGTGTTCCACAGAGACACCATTACATGTTGCGGTTAAGGCTAGTCAGCTTGATTTTGTGCGTCAGATTATGAAACATAAACCATAACTTGCAGGAGAAATGAGCAAGGATGGTTACCGGCCTTTGGATGTAGCTGTTGTTACTGGGCATATAGATATTGTAGGACAACTTTTAAAGACTAAATTCCAGATTTGTCGTCTGCCAGGCAAGGATCAAAGAACAGCCCTTCATTATGCTGCTGCAAAGGGAAGAGTTGAGATCATAAATGAATTGATTTCGACTTGTCCGAAATCTATAACAGATGTGACCAGCTATGGGGAGACTGCACTTCACCTTGCTGTGAAAAACAACCAATTCCCTGCTTTTAGCGTCCTGGTCAACTGGCTGGAAAATCTGAAAGAGAAAACGGTCATAAATTTCAGGGATCGTGATGGGAACTCTGTCTTGCATCTGGCAGCTGCTCGAAGACAATACAGTGTAAGTAACAATTCGCAGTTTTAGCTAATCTATTATCCTCTTATGATTCTGTTTCTGCAACAATTTCCATCCGTTTCTGATCTAGTATCTTATTATTTTTCTTGGGCAAATTTTCTTTTCCTCCAAATAAGTTAGCATTGACTGATAAAACTATGCATGTTGCAGAGTCTTGAATTGCTTGTTGGTAAGAACAATGTTTTCAATGGAATACTAGAAGTGAATGCCCCAAAAGGGTCTCACTGCAATGGATATACTAGATATAGTCATGGAAGAACCCAACGATATACAAATCAGGAAAATCCTTCAAAATGACATGGTAATTGCGGAAAAGAAACATTCCTGGCATGACCTTGCAGATAAGCCATTAAAGGATTGGTTCAAATATTTCAAGTTTCAGCTGGAAAGAGATTCACCAAGCGACACTCGAAATGTACTGCTAGTGGTGGCTGCATTGATTGCCTCGGTCACTTTCCAGGCAGGCCTGAGCCCTCCATCCGGCTTGCTAGAATATGACTCGCAATCAAATCCAACATCTGGTAACACGACGAAGGTTGGACCGGCAGTAACATCTGCGGCAGCAGCTGCCTCTGCATTATTAGGCACTCAGGCAACATCGTATCTGTTCCTGTTTTGGAACTCTTTTGGCCTCATGGCATCACTCAGCATCATTATATATCTCACAGGGGGATTTCCCTTCCAACGGGAGCTTCTCATTTCAATATTTCCATGATGTTTAGCTATGGATTTTCAATTTACGGTATGACAGAAAAAGATGGTGTTGCATATGCCTTTCTCACTGTCGCCTTTGTTCTGCCATTCGCTTTACGGTGGCTTCCAACTTGGGTGAACAAGGCTTGGAATTGGTGGAGAGGACCTCCAACAAGTTGGTCTTTCCTAGCAATTTGGGGTTGATCCGAGGTCTCGGCCACAATTTTTTGGGAAAATTATGAAATCCCTCTTCAAGATATGCCAATTGTTATAGTTTGTTCTAAAATAAAGAAAACTCCTATATCTTGAAATGTATACACAATAAAGCATAAGTCGCAATACTCTGTTTTCTGTAAAGGGTTTACCCTGTTCGAATAATGAAATGATTCTAATTGTCAAAAAAAAAAA